TAGATAGATAGATAGATAGATAGATAGATGATAGATAGATGATAGATAGATAGATAGATAGATAGATAGATAGATAGATAGATAGATAGATAGATAGATAGATATGTCACCCCTGTTCAAGCAACATGGTGACTGCATATGTCAGCAAGATTGTGGGTGGTAGATGTTCCCATTCAGGGCTTTTTTGGTAGAAAAACCCCAGCAGGAAATCATTAGCATAACAGGCCACACCCAGCAGCAGAAACTCCTTAGCATATTAGGCCACACCCTTGATAGCACAGCTCATTAGCATATTAGGCCGCACCCCCATGTTACCAGAGGTGTGGTCATCCAGCCACACCCACCTTCTGCTTCTTATTCTGTTTACCTTGTTTGTTGTCAAAACCCAGGGCTTTTTTTGTAGCAGGAACTCCTTTGCATGTTAGGCCACATACCCCTAATGTAGCCAACCCTAATGAGTTCCTGCTGTTGGGTGTGGCCTGTTATGCTAATGAGTTCCTGCTGGGTGTGGCCAACTTGGGAGCCAGCCGGAACTCCGTTCCTGTGTGTTCCTGCCCAAAAATAGCCCTGTATCCCATTAGGTCTGGCTGGTGAGCTCCCAGTATGTAAGACTAAATCAGTGCCTGGAAACGTCTTATGTCTGTCCTGATGGCTTGTAGAACAGTGCAAAGGAAGTGACCTTGTGGTAGAGAGAAACTGGTATCTTCTGGGCTTCATTTTATTGGTGAAGGGCTGTGGCTCAATGGAAGAGCATCTGCTTGACATGCAGAAGGTCCCAAGTTCAATCCCCAGCATCTCCAGTTAAAAGGAGCAGTGGTCCCTCCAGTCTCGTAGGTAATGTGAAAGATGCTGATCTTTGCCTGAAACCCTGGAGAGATGCTGCCAGTCAGAGTAGGCAGCACGGACCTTGGTGGACCAAGGGTCTGATCCAGTAGAAGGCAGTTTCATGTGTGTTCAAGTGGCAGCTTCATGCAAGAAAGAAAGACGCATATTCCCCATCTGGAGAAAAGAATAACATTATTATGTAACTGAATAAGGTAATTCGAAATGTCCTGCCAGCAACCGTAATTTATCAGCCTTCCAGCTTTGTTACTTGGTGACTGACTTTCTCAAAAAGGATGTTGCAGAGCTGGAAAAAAGTACAGAAGAGGGCAACCAAGATGATGACAGGGTTGGAACACCTTCCCTGTGAAGAAAGGCTGAAGAGTCTGGGACTCTTCTGTTTAGAAAATGGACAAAGATAGAGGACAACGACAGAGGTTTATAAAATTATGCAGGGGGTGGAGAATGTTGACAAAGATAATTTTTTCTCCCTCTCCCAAAATACTAGAACTCGAGGGCACTCAATGAAGCTGACGGGCAGTAGGTTCAAGATGGACAAATGGAAACACTACTTTACACAGCAAGTGATTAAAATGTGGAATTCGTTGCCAGAGGATCTAGTGATGGCCACAGGAATCAGCAGCTTTAAAAAGGGGTTAGATAGAATCATGGAGGATAAGTCTATCAATGGCTACTAGCCATGGTGGCTGAAAGGAACCTTCACATTCAGAGGCACTAAGCCTAGTGCCAGGAGGCAACATCAGGGGAAGGCCTCGGCCTCTCTGTCCTGTTGCTGGCCCTCCAGAGGAACTGGCTGGCCACTGTGTGAGGCAGGATGCTGGACTAGATGGACCACTGGTCTGATCCAGCAGGGCTCTTCTGATGTTCTTTCAATGCAGTCATTCAGTTCTCTTGTATTTTTTCTCATTCATGTTTTCTTGTAATTACTGGATTTACCCAGACCTTGATGGTCCAGGGTAGCCCGATCTTGTCAGATCTCAGAAACTAAGCAGGGTCAGCCCCGGGTTTGAGAGCCCACCAAGGAAGTTGCTATGCAGGGTAGGCAATAGCAAACCCCTTCTGAACATCTCTTGCCTCGAGAACTCCATGGGGTCTCCATAATTGGCTGCAACTTGATAGCACTTTGCACCACCAGTTATTAGATTTATTCCTATTCTGGTGTGTATGTGTCTAAATGTATACGTTTTCTAAACAGATATGTAATTCATTTTTTATCGTTAGTGGGTAGTCAGGTTTTTTCTCCTTCTGTGCTGTTGTGATTAGCCACAAGGTATAGATAGGGACTCTGGGGCAAGTGATGCTCTGTCTTCTTGGTGCTTGGGGGGGGGGGTCAACAGTGGGAGGGCTTCTAGTGTCCTGGCCCCACTGGTGGACCTCCTGATGGCACCTGGTATTTCTGGCCACTGTGTGATACAGAGTGTTGGACTGGATGGGCCTTTGGCCTGATCCAACATTGGCGTCTCTTATGTTCTTATGTTCTTATGATTGTTTGCAGCTAGTCCCGACTGCTGTCAGCTTAACAAGGGGCTGCCAGAAATGGTCCAAAACGGTCCCGTTATCCCACACCTACCATCCTCCACTATTTTCCCCACTTGACCCCGTTTTAACCCAGACTCTGTCCCCTCCCTTGTCCCACCTTTGCTATTCATCACTCCCCCTCCCTTGATGTGTGACGTCATCTATAGACCCTCCTCCTGTGCTGTGTCCCGCCTCCGAGTTGTAGCTCCAAGCTCTGACTGTAGGGTTGCCAATCTCCAAACGGGTTATGCCAAAAAAGTCTCCAAAGACTAGACATTTCTTTTTCCAGTATTCAGTTTACTGGGAGCAATTCAAACGCCGTCAACACCAACGAACCATGCATATTAAGAACATAAGAGATGCCAATGTTGGATCAGGCCAAAGGCCCATCCAGTCCAACACTCTGTATCCCACAGTGGCCAGAAATACCAGGTGCCATCAGGAGGTCCACCAGTGGGGCCAGGACATTAGAAGCCCTCCCACTGTTGACCCCCCCCCCCAAGCACCAAGATGACAGAGCATCACTTGCCCCAGAGTCCCTATCTATACCTTGTGGCTAATAGCCACTGATGGACCTCTGCTCCATATGCTTATCTAATTCCCTTTTGAAGCCGTCCATGCTTGTAGCTGCCACCACTTCCTGTGGCAGTGAGTTCCATGTGTTAATCACTCTTTGGGTGAAGAAGTACTTCCTTTTATCCGTTCTAACCCGACCGCTCAGCAATTTCATGGAGTGCCCACGGGTTCTTGTATTGTGAGAAAGGGAGAAAAGTCCCAATATTTCCCAATATTCAGTTTACTGGAAGGAATTTCAACGCCGTCAACACCAACGAACCATGCATATTATATCTCGTTTCGTGTAAGACTTTATCAAAGTGGGTATCGTTGAAATTCGATATTAATCCATTTTGACAAACTCTCTAGTAGTATCTCATAGTGACACTCATCACATAAGATACTACAAGAGACTTTATCAAGTGGATTAATATCGTATTTCAGCGCTACCCACTTTGATAACGTTATACACGAAACGAGATATAATATGCATGGTTCGTTGGTGTTGACGGTGCTGAAATTCCTTCCAGTAAACTGAATATTGGGAAAAGAAATTTCTAGTCTTTCTGAGACTTTTTTGGCATAATACATCACGGTCGTTTGCTTCTTCTCAACTTCCGTCCCGTGATCTCGCTCTTTGGTTTGCAATCTCCAGATGGGGCCTGGAGAACTCCTGCAATTACATTTGATCTCCAGATGACAAGCAGTTCCTCTGGAGGAAATGGCTGCTTTGGAAGGTGGGCTCTATGGCCTTGTACCCTGCTGAGGTCCCTCCCCTCCCCAAACCCCGCCCTCCCCAGGCTCCACCCCCCCCCCAAATATCCAGGTATTTCCCAGCACAGAGCTGGCAAGACAACCCAATCTGACTCTCTTTTCCCTCTCTTCCGCCCAGTGTTCCCCTGCGGGCCTGACACCAGACAGTGGGAGTATTTCAATGGGAAGTGTTACTACTTCTCCTTAGAAACCGCTCCTTGGATGCGAGCCAAGTCCCGGTGTGAAGAGAAGTTTTCTCAGCTGGTCGTCATCAACAGTATGGCCGAACAGGTAAAAAAACGGGGTAAACCCAGCCCCTTTGGGGGTGGACATCCCAGGAGAGCAGAACCAGGCGGATATGATTGAGTCAGAGGTGGGATTTGCAGCTCGCCTGGGTAGAGGACACTGGTCTTTCCTTCCACCACCCTGTGGCACCAGTGGTACGGTGGTTTGTCCCAGAGTTCAACAGAGCAGACGTGTCTTTTCCCCTTTAAGACCTAGGTCAGGAGTCCCCAACGTGGTGCCCGTTGACACCCTTCCTGGTGCCCCCAAGTGTTTTTAGAAAGTGGGCAGGGCCAGGTGGGGCTTTTGCCCAGTAAGGCTTCTGATTGGCCACTGGAGATTTGATTGGCTTCTACCATAGCACCAGGATCCTCACTGTGTGAAGAGGAATGATAAACCTCTATATCTGGACTTTTCACTTTTTGAGGAATTTGACTTGGGACCAGAGGTCATTTGGGGGGGGGGGGACCGGGGGGGAGTAAGTTGCTTCCTCCCTGCCTCTCCCCACCCCTGCCTGCCTGGGGCCAGGGAGGGCCTTCGCGGGGCTTCCTCGCACTCCCACCGGCCTTGCAGGTCCACCGCCGGGCCTTATTATGTCAGGGGGTGTGGCATATGCTAATGAGTTATGCTAATGAGTTCCCCTAGCTCTTTTTCTACGAAATGACCCCTGCTTGGGACTATTTCTGAAGTTGTATTAATAGGACTGTTTTTGTATTTGGACCGTGTACTTTTGAGTTTCTGATTATCACATTGTATTTATGAAAACTACCCTATTTGAATAGGTTTAGATTATTATACTCATTGATTGTTGAATATATTTTCCGTTATTTATGCACGGTTGTATCTTTTGTATTACTTACTCCCTTCCGTGCATCTCTGCTGTATGAATGTGGGCTTGAAATAACTCTTTTAGCAAAGCTGGAAATGCTCTAATCTCTCTAGCCTGGTTCCCACCCGCTCAGGAGATCTCTGAATCTGCAGGAATTGGAATTTGAGGTGGAGCACCTTAGGACCTAAGAGCAGATCAAGATAAATTACTAGGCTCCAAACCCGGGAGGGTCAGAATGACATTTTGAGCTTTTGAGACTGTCTACTGTCCTTTTAAAATCAGAGCAACTTCGCTTGAAGAGGTGGGGTTCTGTTGGTCCTCAGGCCCGACTGGGGGGGACATAAGAACTCAGTTAAGATAGGAAACTTTGAGGAAACGTTGATGTGACATCCTCCTTATTAGGGAGGACTGGTTTTACTTTAAAAGTGTTCTTTATTTTGTTTTACTGGGTATATACGGCTGCCACCAGGAAATTTTAAGGATTTCCAAACCTTTATACTTTACTGTTGCTCTTCCTATTTTGGTAGACCGAGTTCAAGGCTTATGAGGGATTATGTGGTCCTGAGGAAGTATTTCTTTCAGAGCTGGTATACTTGAATTAAAGAGGATTTATTGAAATAAATAATAAATAAGAGGGTAGAACAATCTAACTAGTAATGTGTAAATAATGAACAATTGCTTGGTATATCACACAAAATCTTCTCCCTTACTGACAGGGATCTTTTCAGGTAACTTTGTATCACTGGTTTATCTCAATGCCATACAGGTTCACTGTCTCTTTCCAGTCTGTTATAACACCCAGACTTTACTATAACATTTATTCACTTAAACTTCACGTTTTCCTAGACTTAGCCTTCAGATCTCTTATCCTTTCTCTCAGAACAACTTCAGCTGTTCTTATCTACTTCAACACAAAACTAACTTATTCCCCACACAGGACTGCTTCTCACTCCTTTCATACACAGAACTGACTGACTGAACATCAACTGTCAACCTCTAACTGTAACTCCTGACTGACATACATACTCATCCATTCAGATTCACTTCCAAAACCCCTCCCCCTCTCTGTCGACCACCAATCATACCATACTTGCCTCTCTCAACCACTCTAGTCTATCTATCACAGCCATGCAACCAAACTTTTAAAGAGACACACACACAGAGAAACAAGGAATCATTACAGTTGATATGGATATGAAACAAAGTCGGTGACCCAAACTGAACCTTGTAGAGCCTTGCATGCTAGGGGTCATCAAGAGCTAGAGATCAAATACTTCCAACTTCCACCTTTACCCACAAAAGCAAAAGTCGGTGCTTCTTGTCAGCTGTATTGGTCTGATCTTACAGAATTTCATTCAGACCCGGACCAGAAATGCACGCTATTGGATGGGACTGACGGACATGGATGCGGAAGGAGTGTGGAGATGGGTGGACGGTAGCGATTACAACACAGGCTTCATGTAAGTACTGAGCAGTCCCCATGAGATGGACCAGCCATGTCTATGAAGGCTGATGCATATTCATAGAGTCACAGAGTTGGAAGGGGCCACAGAGGCCATCTAGTCCAACCCCCTGCTCGATGCAGCATCAGCCTAGAGCATCCCTGACAAGGGTTTGTCCAGCCCCTGCTTAAATACTGCCAGCGAGGGGGAGCTCACCACCTCCCTGGGCGGCTGATTCCACTGTTGCACAACTCTGACTATCAAAAAGTTCTTCCCAAGATTCAGCCAGTACCTTCCTGCTTTTAATTTAAACACATTATTGCAAGTCCTCTCCTCTGCTGCCCACAGGAAAAGCTCCCTGCCCTCCTCTAAGTGACAGCCCTTCAGATACTTAGAGAGAGCCATCATGTCCCCTGTCAGCCTCCTGTTTTCCAGCCTAAACTTTCCCCAGTCCCTCAGCCTTTCCTCACGGGGCCCTTGGTCTCCAGGCCCCTGATCATCTTCGTTGCTGTCCTCTGCACCAGGCTCCATTCTGTCCACATCCTTTTTGAAGTGAGGCCTCCAGAACTGCACACAATACTCCAGGTATGGCCTGACCAATGCAGTGTACAGCGGGACTATCATATCTTGCAATCTGGATGTTATTCAGAAGAAGGCTTTCTTTGTCCTCCTTCAACTTCTCCAACTTGCACCTTCGCAAATCTGGCATTTCTTTATGGCCATCCCCACATCCAAACATTGTTCAGATCTGAACTGGAAACCCCAGTTTTGCGATGATGTCAATGATTGGTTGGATCCAGCAGTAATTTCCATCGATTGCTGTCAGCAGAACAGGGCTTCCTCACCTCTCCTGACTGGAGATGCTCCCTACAAACACTGCTTTGGGAAGAGGTACAGGGAACCCCCAGGAAAAGTACAAGGGAGGTGTCAGAGGTCTGTAGCAGGAAGGGAGAATCAGCAAAAACCAATAGCTCCCCTTCTGTAAGTGTAAATTTACCACTGAATCCAACCGGAGGACGTGAGATCCCGAATTTGGTGAGATAGTGGGCTTTTCCGCATTCTCATTTTCCTCTCCTGTGGGGGTTTTGTTCTTTTCTGCATGTGTTTTGCTCCCTCTAGTGGTCGATTCGATATTACACCACTTTGTGAATGGCATCTCTCCCTGCAGGTTTAAACTGCATGTTTTTATGCTGGACATAAAATGAGGTGATAAAGAATCAACCACTAGAGGGAGCAAAACACGTGCAGAAAAGGAAAAACCAAAGCAATGGGGGCACACAAGTGAGGAAAAGTAGAATGCAAAAAAAAGCCCTCAGATGAGGAAGTATTCCTGTTCTGGTTGATAGACTTCTGCCATCTCCTTACATAGTGAAATGTTCTGCTCTGAGACATTTTATATTCTCAAGAAGTACAGTTTATATGATTTACATTTGTATTCCTGATGAGGAAGAGAGAAGTGGCGATGAGGGTCAGACTACATGAAACACTGACCTATTCCTACAATGAAACATAGTATGTTTTTTTGGCAAACATAAGACACCTGAATAGGACGGAAGGTATTGCGACTAGCTAAACTTCACGTGTTCTCACCTGGATAGCCCAGGCTAGCCCAATCTCATCAGACCTTGGAAGCTAAGCAGGGTTGGCCCCAGTCACGCAGGGCTCTTTTTGTAGCAGAAACTCCTTTGCATATTAGGCGACACACCCCCTAATGTAGCCAATCCTCCAAGAGCTTATAGAGCTCTTCTTACGGGGGCTACTGTAAGTTCTTGGAGGATTGGCTACATTAGGGGTGTGTCGCCTAATATGCAAAGGACTTCCTGCTACAAAAAGAGCCCTGCCAGTCAATATTTGGATGGGAGACCACCAAGGTGTCGGCTGTGCTGCCATGAAGGTTGGGGAGTTTGGTCTGTATCTGGTTAACTGCTATTGCTTTCCTTTCAGGTTAATTGCTACTGCATTCCTTTCTGTGCTTTCTCTGCTGTGCGCCGAAACGCTTATCTTTACAGATGTGCAGGAGGGTGTCGTGGTGTCTGGGTTTTCCCTAGGTGTCGTGGGAGAGTGTTCGTTCTCAGCTTCAGCTACCTAACGGTCTCTAAGCCTTATCCCTCACGCGGGAGGGTGCCTAATTGGCCAGTGCTATGGGGGGGGGTGCATACGAATACCCTATATCCTATTATGCCCATGGGGCCGCCGCCATTCTTAACAGTGCCTATGTTACTGCATCTATAGCTCTGCAATAAAAGTATAACCGTTCCTGAATGCGTGTACTTCGTTGTTGGCTGTGGGTTGCAACACAAGGAAATCCAGGGTTGTGATGGGGAGGCAGGCAATGGCAAACCACCTCTGAACGTCTCTTGCCTTGAAAGCCCTACAGGGTCACCCTATGTCGCCTGCAAAGTCAAGGCAAAAAAAAAAATCTTTCTGTAGGATGTGCCCACGAGTTAATTACATTCTGGATTTGTGTGTGTGTGCTTTTTAAAGAAATGTAACTCTTGCTTTGACTGCAGGTACTGGAAGCCAGGGGAGCCCAACGACGACGGACGCAATGAGGATTGCGCTCACCTCTGGGGCAACGGTGTATGGAACGATGTCTACTGCACTTACCTGTGTTACTACGTCTGCGAGAAGCCCTGGCCAAGAACAGCCAGAGCGCATCATAGCGGGACCTAAGCATCCTTTGAGATGTCCTCTGTGCAGGTGCCAAGCGCCATCGAGTCACTTCCAGTCTGTGGAGGCCCTCTGAATTAACGTCCTCCAAAACATCCGATCCTTAACAGCCTTGCTCAAGTCCCGCAAACCGAGGACCGTGGCTTCCTCGACGGAGTCCATCCATCTCATGTTGGGTCTGCCTCTTATTCCTGCTGCCTTCCACTTTTCCTAGCATGATTGTCTTTTCCAGTGACTCTTGTAGAGCTGCCAAGTGCTTACCTGTTCCGGAGCGGGGGAGTCCAGCCTTGCTCCTGGAGTCTTCGCACGCACACGCGCCACAAGCACATCACACGGAATGGATTCAAGCACATCGGGGACGTTGGAGGCGGGGCCACAATCATCCGAGGGAAAACCATAGAGTTTTCCCTCGGATGGCCGTGGCCCCGCCCCCAACGTCCCCGGTGTGCTTGCGTCACTTCTGTGTGACGTGCTTTGGGGGTAGGGTTCCCCCCGGGGGCCCGATCCGGCGGTGGCGGGGAACGGGCCTCCCGGGCGGGGGTTTCCCCGCCCCCCCGGGGGGACTTGGCATCCCTAGACTCTTGCCTCCTCATAATGTGATCAAAGTACGGTAGCCTCAGATGAGTCATTTTAGCTTCTAGGAAGCATTCAGGCCTGGTTTGATCTAGAGCCCCACTTATTTGTCTTTCTTGGCAGTCCGTGGTATCCATAAAACCCTCCTCCAACACCCCATTTTAAATGAGTCAACTTTCTTCCTGTCTGCATTCTTCACTGTCCAACTTTCACACCCGTACATAGTAATTGGGAATACTATGGCATTCATTATCTTGATCTTGGCTGAAGCAACACATCCTTAAACCACAGAGAAAAGAAAGGTTCCGTCTCCAAATCCCAAATAAGCTCTAATGCACATGGGGAGCGGGGGAATAACGTAAGTTTCTAAAGATAATACATAAAAGTTCCGAAGAGGCCTCTGACGCATCATTTTAAAAAAAAAAAACACCTTTCATTCTCAAATGTGACTGTTTTTTGCAAGTCGTTTTCAACCACTGATTTTGAAAATCGTCACTGATTACTGTGAACATCTCTAAGGATTTCAGGATTTTGCAACTCTGCAGCAAAACCGATTGAATATGTGGCCGGCTGCCATTTTGCACAGCCTAATGTTTGTTTCGCAACTTTAATAAAATCCCCACTTTTCCTCTCCATGTTTTTGAATTTCGTATTTGAATTGAGCTAGATGGTGCGCGGGTCCCTGAGTCCAGCCGTGCACACTTCCTGTTCCAGAACATGACCTGCTACATAAAACACCATCTCCGTGTACATGTCTTAGCCCCTTACCATTGTAAGGATTGCTCTGTAGGGGAGATTATGTCGAAAACAATGACTTCTGAAATGTCCAAGTTGAAACATTGGTGTGGATCTAACCATTTTCCAAATAATCCTCCAGCCTAAAGATCTTTCCTCCAACTTAAGCGGCTCTTTCTCCAATGGAAAGGCCACTTGAGTTAGAAAAAGAGGGCATCAAATTTGAGCCAAAAGGACATGTGGGGTATAAATATTTTAATTGATAAATAAACTTTGCTCAGGAGAGTGGTAAAACAGAGCAGGATTCATCCCATTGCTTTGAAATCTGACCTTTCTTTCTATAATCGGATGCCTTCTTTATACGTTATACAACCTACGTGGATTCAAGTGGGTAGCCGTGTTCGTCTGAAGCAACAGAACAAAGTTTCTGTCCCCTGGCGCCTTTGAGACCAACAAAGTTTAATTCTGGGCAGTGTTCCCTCTAAGCTGAGTTAGTGTGAGCTAGCTCACAGTTTTTCAGCCTCCGGCTCACACATTTTTGTCTTCGCTCAGGAAGGAGGGCTCCAGAGCAAACTAATGTATGCAGTAGCCAAATCGCTCGCTCACAACTTTAATGCCGGCAGCTCACAAAGTAGAATTTTTGCTCACAAGACTCACAGTTTAGAGGGAGCATTGATTCTGGATATAAGCGTTCATGTGCATGTACACGTCTTCAGATACATTGAAACAAGACTTCCTCAAGCCTTATAAATATAGGTAGAGAGGGAAGGGGGCTTAGTTGCCAGGAAGGGTTAGTTAGAGCCAAGATGCATGAGTAACTGAGCAATGTATAGCTGAGTTTGGATTAAAGCAGTTGGTAAGGTCTGTGAATAGCAGCAAATGAGCATACAAATAAAATAGTTAACAAACAGATGTGAGAACTACGGTTTACTCCGATATGAAGGAAATTGCTTGCCAAACCGGAGCCAAAAGAGTAATACACCAAAAGAGCAATATTTTTGTTTTACGTTTTTAGCATCAGATGTAGAGATATAGAAATATGTAGAGATCACATACAGACACTAAATTTTTAATGCCATCCTTTTTATGGATGATGATCTTTTGAGGCCCAAAAGTAAGGCCACCGTCAGGCAAAGAGGGCCAGGGTGATTAAGTGCCATAGCAACAAGTCCCCTCAGAGTCTCAGATAACCACATAAACTACTGGGAAGTAGTGGGTCATTAAAATAATGGCACCATCAATTGGCTAGCATTCAGTTAAATAAAATAGAAGTCTAGTGGTACCTCAAGGACTAATCACACATATTTCAATATTAGTCTTTTGGGAGCCACTGGAAGGCAATTCCTCCCCACTTGCAATATACCCAGGCATAGGTTGGGTGCAAAAGATAGGGTATTTATTCTGGATAAGGTGGAAGTGGGAGTGCAATGGGCATTTTGAACAGCCTCCCTGACCAGATCACAGCTTTACATGCAAGTCTAGTGTCCGGAGTTGGCGTGATGGGATAGCTGCTGGGGCCCAGATGCTAGCAGAAGGTCCACCACAAACCAGAGATGAGTGATCCATCTACTCACACCGAGGATGGGAGAGGGTCCCAGAGGTCCCTGGGATTGGAGCAATCTCCCATGTCATGACTGGAGAGGCTCCAGGAAGAAGCACAGTGCAATTGCTTCATGCTTCCCTTAAGCTCAGGGTACCCATAAGGCTCAAAACTGAAGCTCAAATACTTTGGCCACCAAATGAGAAGGGAGCCCTCACTGGAGAAGACCCTGATGCTGGGAAAGACTGAAGGTCAAAGAAGACGGGGACGGCAAAGGATGAGATGGTTAGACAGTGTCATAGATGCAACGAACATGAAATTGAGCCGACTTCAGAGGACAGCGGAAGACAGGAGGGCCTGGCGTGATCTGGTCCATGGGGTCGCGAAGAGTCGGACTCGACTGTGCGACTGAACAACAACAACCCATAAGGCCTTAAAAAGTGTGGAAGTTGCATTCCGCTCCCTCTTTCAGGAGGAAGTTATGCACACACCTGTGCATTAATGGGTGGAGCACTGGAGGGCATCTTTTCCAGGGTGCCCAAAATCTGAACCAACCAGGTTGACATGTATATGGCATGCACAACCGGTCTGATTTATTCTACCAGAAACTGCCCAGTTCTACTTCACAGCAGCCCTTGGAAGACAGGTTGCTGACGAGGAGACATCTGTAGACATAACTGGAGTTTGACAAACCAACTGATCTACAATTAAAATGCATTCAAGAAAAGCTGGGATTCTTGGGAATCAAATGCCGACTACACTCAACAGGAGAGTGAGAAACTATTGATGCATGGTCAGAATTATGCTTTCTAGAGGTATTCCGCACTCGAGAGATCCTTCTCCAGAACTGTTTTTGCTGGAATGTGTTGACTCTTGTCCTAAGAATACTGGACTCCCATTCTTGATATCATTATGGCTGCAGGACAAGAATTCGCAAAGGTCTGGGAGAGTAAGAAAACTCCAATATGAAGGGATCTTGTTGAGAAAGTCAAGTCTTTTTATTTGCATGTTAGATTATCTAAATTGCTAAAAAATAGAGACTTATCTTGGATTGATGTTAAATGGAGAAATATTATTTGTTGGACGCAACAGCTGTTTCTGTCTGTCTGTCTGTCAATAAAAGCTTGTTGTTCAGTCGCACAGTCGAGTCCGACGCTTCGCGACCCCATGGACCAGATCACGCCAGGCCCTCCTGTCTTCCGCCGTCCTCTGAAGTTGGCTCAGTTTCATGTTCGTTGCATCTATGACACTGTCTAACCATCTCATCCTTTGCCGTCCCCGTCTTCTTTGACCTTCAATCTTTCCCAGCATCAGGGTCTTCTCCAGTGAGTGCTCCCTTCTCATTGGGTGGCCAAAGTATTTGAGCTTCAGTTTCATTATCTGGCCTTCCAGGGAACAGTCAGGGTTGATTTCTTTTAGGATTGACTGATTTTATCTTCTTGCAGTCCAAGGGACTCTCGAGAGTCTTCTCCAGCACCATAATGCACAGTTCAGAAGGGCTGCAGCGTTCCATGGGCAGTTGCCGCAAACCAAGCTCTGTAAGCAGCTGGATTGCCGAGAAGTCTCCTTTTCTCCTGTAGATGGCAGCAGAGTTCCACTTATAAGCAGCACCCCACCAAGCCTTTGATTTCTGTATTAACTGCTGCTGATGCTTGACTTTCCCCCCCCCCCCCCCCAAAGAAGAAACCCACATTTCCCACCCACTGGCCCAGGCTGGCCCAATCTCATCAGAATTAAGAAGCTAAGCAGGGTCAGCCCTGGTTAGTATTTGGATGGGAGACCACCAACAAAGCCTGAGGCTGCGATGCAGAGGCAGGCAATGGCAAACCACCTCTGAACGTCTCATAGTTGCCATGCGTCAGCCCCTGCCAGTGTCCAAGGAAGACTCAGCAAACTTCCACCTTCCCTCCCAGAGGGTCAGATTAGATCTGGAGACACTCGGGTTCAAATCCCCTATCAGCCATGATGCTCTCTGGGTATGGTTGCAAGCCTCCAGGTGGGGCCTGGGGATCTCCAGCTTTTACAACTCATCTCCAGTTGACAGAGATCAGCTCCCCTGGAGAAAATGGCTGCTTTGGAGGGCGGACTCTATAGCGCTGTATCACGCTGAGGCCCCTCCCCTCCCCAAACCCCGCCCTGTCCCGGATCCACCCCC